ATTCCTACGTCATACTTGAGGTCAGAAGAAAGTTCGTGGTTGCATCAAAAGCTATTCATGGGATAAAACTTCTTCAAAACATTCAGATCAGGATCATCGCCTTAAAATTTGTGACGTCAGCGAAAATTATTTATAATTCTTTTATTTTTCCTAGTAAAAAAAATAATCGAATCACGAGGAATAAATTCAACCGTCACAAGGAAGATATGATCGAGAACTTTTGTTCAGCCTCTTCTTCTTGAGATTCATGCTACTTGCGTTGCATGAATCTGCGAAACCCGGAATCAATATTTGCAATACAATTTTTTTTTTTTAAACTGGTTCAATCATAGAGATTTCTTTACGAAATACAATCAAGTCTACTGCGCTAAAAGAAAAAGGCACCCAGACGCGAAAATTCGTGAAAATCACCTTGTTCTCCGATCAAAGCGTCCCAAATGACTTGGGGAGGGATAATGGGCTTCCGATGTTGCACTAAAATGTCCTCTAATGCTGTATTCAGATGTCCAACGCCAATTTCGAACAAACTTTTCTGCAACCGAGAGTGAGCTTAGGCAAGTAAAATGATAAAGTCGCTCAACACGGCTTACAACTCGGTCAAACTCGGGATGTTCTGGATTTCGGAGATGGAAGTAGTGCCAGGCATCCCACAATTGATCCAATGCATTCAAGTACAAGTTCAACCCGGGAATCGACCCTGAGCCACTGCCTCCGGTTCCATTACGAATTTTTTCATCGACTTGCGCCGTAACTCTGAAGTACTTGCTGACGTCGTCTAGAACTGCTCGGGCTTTCTTCACATCTGATGAAACCCAAAATCGAGATGGATCAAATGTTGTGAGTTCCCCTACTATACTCGCACTTCAGCTCAGTTCAGAGATAAAATTGCATAAATTTACGAGATTAAATAACTGGATGAAATACAGCAAGGCATTTCATCTAGAAAGTACAGTACTGTACAGTATAAAACATAGAATTTCATAAACTCCCGAACTTCCTTCTTCAACCTCCGCTATGTGTGACTTTAAACACATCATTCTGTGGTTTCCTGAAAGTTTCTGAGTTCAATCGAGTGCTCATCAGAATCGATACACAGGACGATTCAAAATCTAGAGAGAATCCAAAGCATGACATGGAAA